TCTCTCTCAGTTTCTACGTCCTCTCTTCCTCTTTCTCTCTCTCTCTCACAGTTTCTCCATCCTCTCTTTGTGTCTCTCTGTTTCTCCGTCCTCTCTTCATCTCCCTCACTTTCTCCGTCCTCTCTTCGTCTCTCTGTTTCTCCATCCTTTTCGTCTCTCTCAGTTTCTACGTCCTCTCTTCGTCTTTCTCTCTCTCTCTCAGTTTTTCCATCCTCTCTTCGTCTCTCTCTGTTTCTCCATCCTCTCTTCGTGTCTCACTTTCTCCGCCCTCTCTTTCGTCCCCCTCAGTTTCTCCGTCTTCGGGCTGGGATCCCGGGCCTACCCTCATTTCTGCGCCTTCGCCCACGCGGTGGACACCCGGCTGGAGGAACTCGGCGGCGAGCGGATCCTGCCCCTGGGTGAAGGCGACGAACTCTGCGGGCAGGAGGAGTCCTTCCGCACCTGGGCCTCCAGCGTTTTCAAGGTGCCGGGTCGGATGGCGGGGGGCGAGAATCGGGTCGTTCGCCCAAAACTCCCTCTCCTTGGGAGGGGCTTCGCTGTCCCGCGACGGCTATCCGGGGGGCGGGCGGGGTGGAAAGATGTGGTGTGCAGGTTGTCCCCCGACTCCAACGAGCCCTGTTTCCATCGCGAAGGGAGACGATCTCACTAGCGAGCTCCGCCCTGCGGCGGACGACCTATCCCCCCCCACGCCTTTTTCAAGCGAGTCCGCGCAGCGGTTTCCTCCTCGCTCGCACGTCCACGGAGCGAAGATCCTGGACGGTTTTCGGCCGGCTGCCGGTGTGGGGGGGGGACAAAACGTATCTCTCTTCCGTTGTTCGGCCGGCGAGACGGTCATTAAAGCGGATCTGGCTCCCCCCCCGCCCCCCCGTTGGCTCGACGGACGGTGAAATCGGGTGAACCTCCGGGACGCGGCGATCGTCGTCCCTCAGTCAGCCGCCCGGGTGTCCCGTCCCGTCGACGGGTGGACCAACGGCCCCGACGTCCGTTTTCTTTCCCTCCCGTTGCCACTCCGAAACGTTCCCCAAACCACGCCCGTCCGAAGTCAAAGACGACCTGCGTCCCGCCCGGGAGAAGACCACCCCTGGGTGGGTGGGTGGGGGAGTCCCTCCGGCGGGCGGGCCCCTCCCCTGACCTCCTCCCCATTCTTCCCCGCAAGGCCGCCTGCGACACCTTCTGCGTCGAGTCCGACTCCGTCCCCACCGAAGTTTTCTCCAACCGCTGCAGCTGGAAGCGGAACCGGCACCGGGTCCTGGCGCAGCCGAGCGCTACCTTGGACCTCCTGGCAGGTCGAGAAGGCTCTGTGTGGGTGTGGGTGCGCGTTGTGTGTGTGTGTGTGTCAGACCAGCTCCCTCCCTCTCCTCCTCCCCCACACAAATAAATTGGCCACTAAGCGTGTCTCTCGGTGTACGATCTCAAGCGGGTGGGATTCGACCCCAGTTCGTTCCGAATCGTACGGCCGTTTCCCGCCACAACCCGACCTTGGGTTGCAAACTGGCGGGCGCGGTGCGGGAAC